TAGAATACATGTATTAAATAACATACTGTATCTTAACCAAAAAGTTACACATGTTTATAAAGTTGGTACGTCCTTATGTATTTTTTGTTCAAAACAAAATGAGACAATGAAGCATTTCTTTGAAGAATGTAATGTTACAAAAAGGTTTTATTTTCAAGTTATGGAATTGTTGAAAAAGCCGAATATTTGTCTGCCCATTTCGAACAAAGAAAATGTTATAATTTGCCCCAATGGAAATCCATTAGAGCAGTTTCTTTTTCTTTTGTGGAAGTTTAATGATCACTAGGATCAGTTTCATGCCGTGCATGCKAAATAGYAAGAACGCGTTGCAAACAATTTTAATCCATGAAGCGTACATTTTCATGCCCGGCATGAAGCTAGCGTTGCGAGCATTTTTATGACATTGTTTCTCATCTTACTCACCCGGGAAAGATCCAGTGCATTCTATTCTTTCATCATCTTTAAAGTAACAACCAGGGTGATTTAATGAGCTCCCACAACTGAAGGCGACGCCTTGTGACTTTACCGTTGACATCTTGGCAAGTTGTTTGTTACCCCACCTGCAAACTATTTGTGAAATGAAATATGCAATGAAAACATGAACCAAGTCAAGTTTGRATACTTTAACTTTATCCTTGTTTCAATGAATTAAATGGGAAGTTGTCCTATTAGATTTTCTACAGTAGTGCAGTCCTCATCGTTCATTTTAAATAAATGTGAAACAAAACTGCAATCTCCACTWCAGTTTTTTTTCATTTCAACTATAGTGCAATATGAAAATTAGGTAATACCTAATTGGGGATCTCCAATAGCATTATAAAGAAAATTGTTATCTAGTACTACTATTTCAACGAGAGAGGTACGCTGTTTCAAGGAATATAAAAACAACATCTTAGATTAACATTCGAAAAAAAAAGTTATAGCGGAGCTGCATCGAGTCCATTTCAGGGTTCTCGCGCGTACGCACGTTTCCGTCTGTCCTTCCGCCCGTCCGACAAATTTTCAAAAAAAATCAATTGCCTGGCGTTTAGTTTCTGGGGCTWAACGTAAGGCTGCCTAACGTTTAGACAATCTGTAAAGGATAAGCTTTAAAAAGCCGATGACACAGTATGTCTTTTGTGCRAGGAATACCCCATCGGTGGGTAGGAATTCGGACAAACGTTGATAATAGAGCTTTGAGTGTTTGGGCCACAAAACAATTTTTTTTTAAAATTTTGCAACAATGTGATTGGTACAAACCTACCTTTATCGCAGTCGAAACTTCTCTTCCAATTAACGTACGGCCATACATCGCAATAGGGCTGATTGCAAGATTTTCCTAGCTTCCTATTCTCACAGCCTAACAGACCATTGCTACATTTACAAAAAATGCACCGTTGAAGATTCCACTCTACACCCTCGAAATACCTTTGACCTTTCTYATCTTTACATGTAGTCACTATGAACCAAAAATAACAACAAGCACACAGAATTCAAAAATTGATAGCCATTATATAGATATTTTTCAACAACCGTCTTATGTTTATTAGTAAAAACGATCGAGAAATGAGTGWAAAAGGTTCAGAAAACATCGACGCCTTTAATTTATAAGTCTCGCYTACAAAAGCTAATAGTTGKTTTAGCATTTAWAGTWAATTCAACAAAAATGAAAAATKAAAATTAAATTAAAATTAAATTAAAAGGGTCACAGCACGAACATATCGTGTTTTTTTACACAGTCAAACGAAATCCGCTCTATATGATATGCTCTCACGTTCTCGCTTCCATGATCACTAACCAATAACACTTTTGTTTGCAATAGTTATGGGAATTATTAGTTAGACAGCAACCATTTCTGCTTGAAGTCATTAAAATTAAGTAAAGCATAATGCCWTAATTTTGTACCTGAAARARGTTGTGAAGAATTGTCAACACATTCACTTTGTCCTTTAGAAACCAATTGAAATCCATTTGAGCAAAGTTGGAAACCTTGAGGTTGTCGAAGGTCTTTGCTAATGACTTTGATTGCTAAAAAGAAATAACATGAATTAGACTGTGACGGAATTGATCTTTTTATAGTGGAGCTCGGCCCTCGCGATTGGAGCAACATAGCTAAATAGTAAGCCATCCGAGGTCTCGTCCTTCCTTCTTCTCGTCTGTGTACCACCACAGGAAACCCATACACCAATATTTATTGAAATGTGGAAATTTTTCATTGATGCATTTTTGCTTGTATGTAGACTATTTTTGCAGAGACGTCAGTTACACTTTTAATCAATTGACATTTATATACAGTAAAAACCCGCGTATAAGTACACCTATTTTGGCGGTTCAGGACGATTTGGTTCTTATATAAAGGGTTAAGTTATAATCTGCAAAATCAGCCTGTGAGCGTTCTTCAAAAAGTTTCTAAAAATAAGGAACATACTAGGCTACCAACAGATGAAGTAAATATAACAGTACATATTTATATTCTGTTTAATTTTTTGTTGCATATAATTGGGTGGAACTATTATGTGTGCAATGAAAAGTASTGTTGATCTTTGATACTTTTCCAYATAMGAACAACTTTCAATTTTCAGGCTGAATGTGTTCTTATATAAATGGTACTTTACTTYCTAAAATCAGGCCTGGGTGYTTTAATCCAATTGTTCTTATATGTGGGTTTTTACTGTATTGCAATAAAATCATCCAACTGAACAAATCTACGAAAGTCAATAAATTCAAAGTACTCATAAAGCTATTCTTTCTTTTGTATAAACCTTTTGAGCTAAATATGTATTTAAGCAATAAACARCACATTTTCKTGCGTTCCTGGTGAAATATAAACCACGCGGGATGCTGGGAGAACATGAAAAAGGAGTAATCTCGAGCCGGAAACTATRCTGTTTATTGCTTTTATATTAAAGCATTTTCCCATCCGGTGAAATAAACAATAACATTTGACCAATCAGAGAGCGCTTACTATGATAGCTATAATATAAAATAAATAGAGGATATTACATGGGCGCGCGGAGATACCGATTTTATCTTCTCGTGTTGAAAAGATCTCTCACGGGTGAAGATAAAATTCGTATSTCCAAGCGACCAAGTAATATTTTATTTATCAAATAATTGTATATGAAAGAAAATTATGTTGTAAAATACCTTTTTTCTTGCTTGCACTATATAGAGAAACCGCGAATGTGTTATTTCCACTAGTGAAAATATCAAATTTACAAAATGGAGAAATRTAGGTATTTCATATATAATTATATGATATGATTAATTACAGCATCCTTCAAGATTTGAATTTATGTTGATTACAATATGTGTGTTCTTGAAGTATGTACGAAGCATTTTTKTTGTTTTTGTTTWTGTTTTTYAGATCTGTAATTCAATCCTGCGAAGATTTTCGGACCAATGATAGCACCGAGAGAAAGCACAGCGCTGACAATTTTAATCAGGCGTCGGGATCTTCAAACTCTAAAATTGGCTGTTKTCAAGATTCAAAATGTTGTGTTTTGTATTGATATTTCTCCATTATTTCCCAATKTAATGGAGAAAATTGAGAGCTAAGGTTGAGTACTGTCTTTTGATATCTCTTGAAAAATTAAGTCGACTTTTCTACAACAAGTTTTTAAAGKTCAATATTAAATTTCATCTTTCCATTGACTTTCAATTAAATTTTTCATGTACAATCATATCTCATCGGTAAGAAGCAAATTTGCGATTTGAAGCGGAGAGGGAGCTCACAAACTCCTCGAGATAAATTCCATG